GGGAAAGGGGAAGGGGAGGGGGGGGGGCGAAATTGCATGGAGACGAAAGTAAATGACAGAATGTGTTTAGAGAGCAGAAAATGGAGGAAGTGAAAGGACAAAATTTCAGAGAAGAAAAATATCCGTCGCCATCAGGTTTCGAACTTTGAACTTGAAATTTATTGAATGAGAGGCGAACACCGTACCTCAAGATCACGAGGGCCCTCTTTTAGCCGGAATCCTGTTATGGCCGAGACTGTTAATGTATAAATACAATGTATATATATGTAAAGCCCACAGTGCACATTTATCATGAAAGAAGAATCTCCCTTTGCCTGACAGGCAGCCATGAGCCCTTTTTTTGAAGGTACAATTCTGTACATAATGATAATACATTATATATCAGATGTGCAGGAGGAGGATCTACGCCAAGGAGCTTAATCTCCTTGATCTACGCCCAGATTGCACGTGTATAGTTTCAGTCTGGGTATCAGTTTGACTCCCATAACAGGAAGGTTATAATATAAGAGATGGGGATGCTAAATTATTGTTCATCTCCGATTGCACCAAGTAAACCAATAGCCATATGAAACACCTTTGATTAAATGTATTAAGAAAGTGAGCTCAAGAATGCAAGAAGTTCTGCTTTACCCGAACCCACTCATTCAGAGTTCCGCATCCTGTTTACTGTATCAAGCTTATAACCAATTGCACAACTGACAATAATAAATAATACTGCCCATGCTCATTATTTTTACAAAATTTAGATGCAGGCAGGGGCGACCAGGTTTTGTTTCCTCCATGGGACTAACGAAAGTTACCACTTTGGCACAACTTGATACATGTATTGTCGAAGATGGACAATACTCTAGCACTCGCTCCTCTTAAATAATCCTCCTGTTTTCAAATAGGAACACAAAAGCAAACAAACAAACAAACAAAATAAACATACATACAAACAAAAGCAAATAACACCCCCCCCCCAATTCCTATTTTGAGTTTTGCAAAGGGAAATCAAAGATAGTGTAGTAGAGAATCTTTGGGGAAATTGAACAGATATCAGCCCTCTAAACTTAGACCCGTACAACTTGGGCTTAGATCCTCCTCTTAAACATCTTACTTACTTCGAAGGGAGCGCAAAACAGTTACAATAGCAGAGTTAGAGCAGGGTATCGTATAGACGTACTCAGACAGTTGAGACATTGATCAAGCTTCAAGTGGGGAATGATAACGTAGGTGCCCTACAGATCAGAGTCGAAGAAACTAACCCCGCCGCGACATCTGAACAGCTCATTAGGCAACAGTAATTAATAGATAATTTTGTCTAGACAATGTTCTATTTCTTGGATTGAACCCTAATTTATCTCGAGTGTCGTCCAGAGTTAGCCCCGTGACGACATGCTCCACCTTCCGGAAGAACATAAACAGCTCATCTTTTTTTTAGTACTTTATCTGAATCAGGGGAAAAGTCTATCCTGTTAACTGTCTATTGTTTATGTACTATCAGATAAGTAGTATAAATCATGCCCTAAATATAAAACCGTCGCGCCTGAACACCAATAAAGAGCAAAGTCCAACGTTCCGATCTGCACAAGTGAGGTGTGCCCCAACGATAACTGACTAATTGTACCGTGGCTGATAAGTCATTTATTATTTCTATTCATAGCCCCACCCCCCACCCCTCTCTTCCTCTTCCTTGCCCCCGCTTCAGCTCGTATTAATTCATCGGTAGCCTATTAATATGATATAATAGAGAGAGTTAGAGACATTTATAGAAGAAAGAGAGTGAGTGAGTGTGTGTGTGTGAGAGAGAGAGAGAGAGAGAGAGAGTAGAGAGAGAGAGAGATGCAGACGGACAGACAGACAGAGACAGAGGCGGCGACTCTCTTCCTGAATGTCCCCTGAAAAAACCCATCCAAAAACTATTCTAAAATTATACATCTTTGATGCCTTCGTATTTAAAATGGTCCTTTTGGATTTGGTTATATAAGTACTGCTTTCTGGATTATAATAAAAATGCCGGTGGAGGAGGTAACAGAACCATGGTTTGTGGTGTAGCTATTGTGCACTTCAACGTCCCCTGCAGAAGGCGCGAGATCGATGTCCATGCTGAGAGAATCTTTATTGTCTCCCTCTTTCTGCTGTGACGTTGGGTCCCTCTCGGCCTTGGTTGGTCCTAATAGGCAGAATGAGGGCCCCCTAAACGATCAAAATTGTTTCGGTAGGGGCGTTAAAATATTTAAGATTATTACAAGACGTCTAGATCTACATGCCCCAAAAAATTGACACACGCCTGTTTCCGCCGCATTGTAACGCACTGTTGCTATGTTCTGTGCCCAGAGTGTCTTGTGTTTTAGTAGAGGTTTTACGGCGCCCACAACTGCATAACGTCATATGAGCGCCATGACTTACATGCTTTCATCACGTCGGGGACCACGTTGAACTGTACTCCACCCTGAACAAAGAACGAGACACAGACATTGTAATCAGTTACAATAGCATGCATTACTAAGATGTTCAGAAAAGTAGGGAGAAGTACAAAGACATGAAGACGCTAGTTCGTGATAGAGAAATAATATAAGAAAATTGTAAGTGACCTTAACCCCGTTCCAGAGCGAGACAGACATTGATGATGATGATGCTGATGTGATGATGTTTAAGAAAATACCCGGTAAGTGTTGCAATGCGTTCTCGTTCAGCCTGGTGACGACTAAATGCACATATACAAAAAGGATGCAGACATCAAATACCAAGATTAGACATTGCTTTTCTATATCGCGCACGTTAGAAGATACGTTTCATGAAAGATAGACAAGTAAGTAGGTCTGTTGTCAGTGGATACATACAGGACGGATATCAAAATCTATCTATCTATCTATCTATCTATCTATCTATCTATCTATCTATCTATCTATC